CCAGGTGCATCACCTTGCACTTGTCAGTGTTGAATTCCATCCTATTCTCATCCGCCCACCCCTGTAACCTGTCTAGGTCTGATTGTAGCCTATTTCTTCCTTCTAACGTGCCCACATCCCCCCCCACATCTTCCCATGGCTCCATGCCCCCAGCCAATTTTGATTTTTCTTTTCTTTCAAGTTTTTTCTTACTGGAACTGGACTGAAGTCACTATCTCATTTTAAACAGGTCATCTAACAACCATAAGTTTGTTATGACATCAGCTAGTACTGTAGTTCTTAAAAAATATTAAAGATCAAAGTTCATTGCTCTGAAAAGAAACAAGCTTTTCATAGTCACAAGGCAGCCAGTCTTTACCATATGTTGCTATATTAAACATTCTATACTCTTATTGTTATAACTGTTTTAGTACATTCCCAGATATCAAATGAGGCCAGTTCACCTACTGTAGTAAAGCAATCTGAGATTATGGGGACTGTTTTTTCCCCCAAATTGTGCTGTCTACTATAGCAATAAAATGGATCTGCTTTAATTAACTTTGCCCTAACCACCTGCCAAAGACCAAATTGCTTTCTCAGCCTCATCCAAAAAGCATTTAGAATAGTCCTGAGTTTCTTTCATATACTGTTCACTTATTGATTAGTTGCACTATCCCAGTTACCTGGCTGCCATTCCTGAGCCGTTCATTTCTCATCAGCACCTTGTTTTTATCTCTTTGCTGGCAAGCATCTCAGAAAGCTCACACATTCATAAGTCAGTTGACTCCCCTCTGATAGGAGAGAATATGTTTTTAGTAAAATTTCGAAGATCTAGTAGAGAACTAGTAGAGATGGGCCTGAGCTATGAAAACAACTCTATTTTTTTCAATTGACCATTTCATATTGTTCACATTTGAGCAGTCAGAGATAGAGACAAGAATGTAGGTTATGAAATTTGGAACCATTTATAGGATTTCAGACCCTTTACTTGTTTGTTATTTAGTGTTAAATATTTCGAAGTGTGAATCTCACTTCCCTCCAGTGAGGTAGCCAAAAAGTTAAGACCCTTGAAATTAAATACCACAGCAATCACAGGGAAATAGTTTTTGGTTTCTGTCATATTAAATATATGTGTATCAGTCATGATTGTATTTCTTCAGCTGTTTATATATCTCAAGAAACTTTCTTTTGGAAATACTGTTATGGAGACTTGCATATGATATATTTGCCTATTTTTGCTTTTTTATTATTATTATGCTCTGTATGCAAGCTGCTGGTACAGAGGTCTTGTTGTGTTGACACGTAGTCGTGTAACAAAACCCACATGTAACAGCCCACAATGTAACAGAGTTGTCATGAATTAAGCCATATACAGAAATGGAGAACACATCATTTAACCTCCACAGAATAACTAAGACCCATGGATGTTTCAGACCAGTGGATGCCCTGAGATTCATGGCTGCTCAAAGAGGTCCCCTGGCTTTCTCATGCTCCCCAACCTCATGACTACACATGTCCAAGCAAGCAGGAGGGAAATTTTGTGCAGTCAGCACCAAGGATGATACCCCTTTGCATCGACCCTCCCCCAACAAAAAACAGTCCATTTTTGTAGAAGCTCCACAATTCCTTCCCTTCCCATGACATTTGCTATATTTCACACTTGAAAAGAAAGCATTACTTAAGCAGCTGGCAGAAACACAGAAAGAAGATTGTAAAAAGAAAAAAATTAGAAAAAAAGGATTAAAATATTTTTATCAAGATAATCTCACTCTAGTTATGCCATTTGTAAAATTATTAGATTTGAAAGAAGCCTAACTATTCCATGCTGTTCTAACTTATGTTGCATGCATTCATTTTTTTAGTCTCCAAATAGAACCCCAACAGAAAAGGGACAGATGCCTAATTAATCAAGGTAAGAGCATAAATACATTATTTGTTTTAAAAAGGGTGCTTAATGAAGTATTTCCTGACACAAATGCATACTTATAACAACAGAAAGCAAATGCTATCTTTGTCACAGTTCTGGTGTCAGTGCCACATTTCATGTTTATAAAGATGAACATAGGGCTATGATACATTCTCATTTCTGATATACATTATAGCTTGATTTTTAGCCAGATTTTTAGCCAGTCTTCAACCTATATTCAGTAGTGCAAAAGCAGGTTTTCCTGCAGTTTGAAACCAAACTGATTTGCAGGAGCTATTAGAAAGTTAGGTGTACAAATTGGTTCACTTGTAGGTAAAAGTAAATTACACCTTCAAAATGAGATGGGAATCTTTGGAAAAATAGAGTCATATACACTGATCATACACATACTATCATAGAGAAATTGAATAAAACCCTATGCTGTATACAGATGTCATCCATCAACATAAAAAAATACGGACATGTGTAGATGAAACAGGGGCCCTAAATTGAAGCGGTGGATTTTTAAAAATACTGCTTCAGTTTAGGGCCCTTTAAACCCCCGTGTCATGCACACAGCCAAACTTACCTGCCTGTCTGGTGGTAGAGAGGGGAGAGGAGGGCGAGCTGCCAGTGGGAAGAGTGGTCCCTGGGCTGAAGAGGGGACTGGTGCTTCCTTCCGCAGCAGTGCCCCCCAAGCAGTACCCACTCTCAGACACTCAGCTCAGCTGATCTGGGGGGCACTGCAGCCATGGAGGGAAGGACTGGGCCCCTGCACAGCTCAGGCAGGCAGGCAAGCTCCAGGGGGGAAAAAAAAAGATCTTGGGCAGAGTCTGCCTTCCCAGGCTGCCTCCAGAGGCTTCCTGCAGAGCCCCTGAGCTGCATGGAGCCCAGTGCTTTGCTCCATGGCTACAGGGCAGAAAACTAGAACTCCTTGCAGGAGTTCTAGTTTTCTGCACCCCAAGTCATCTAAGGTGCATTGCGCCACCAATGTTGCTACAGCGGCTGGAATTACTGCGCAATACACCACTAACACATGCAAACACCAACACCATTAAGGCAGTGCAAAAGCATTTAACCCATTTTAAAGTGTTGTGCACACATGCCCCTCGTTTTGTTTACACATGGCCTATGAGGTCTACTTCTGATATTGCAAGTCTTCAGTATTGCCACACATACTAAATGGAGCGTAGATATACAGGCAAGTAACAAGAAAGTTTCATGAATGGTGTGACCACAAAAGGAAGGTGTTTAGTTTTTGCAACAGCATAAATGAGCTACTTATAACTAGCATAGTAGAAACAAAACTCCACTGTCTTTTGTGATTCTTTCTAGGCTAAATGACAATGTTTGCATTTTTATAGTAGGATTTGAGTTGTACAACCTGCAACAGAGTATCTAGAAATCTTGATCAGGTGGGAGATATGGTTCTACAGAATAAGTGTCACAATGGAGGCTCTACCAGTGGGGCTCCTGAAGCACTAAAAGCTTCAGGACATATCTACATGAGACATTTACTGCGGAGCTCCCTAATTAGCTCCTCAGTAAACTGTCAGCATCTACATGTGCAAAACTATTAGGATAGAGTAAACTAACCCAGCCATAGGTTAATAGATATAACCACCCTACAGTAGGGTTATTTACTCCAGCACAGCACACGTGTAGATGCTCATGGGGCTGATGGACACAAGGGTGCTTTAGTGTGGGTGCAGCCAGCCAGCCAGCCCTGCACTGAAGCACCCTCATGCCCCAGCAAGCCGCTCCAGAGCACATTGAGCTAGGTTGGAGCATCTTTGGGCTGGCAGGCTGACTCCTGGGGCCTTCTGCCAGTCAGGACTGCTCTGACCCTGCTCAACGTGCTGCAGTCCCAGGTGGACATGTAAACACGATGCCTGGGAGAAATAAACTCTGGTGCGATATGCACCAGAATGTATTGCTTTGCATTAATTGCACATGTAGATGCACCCTCAGAATTAACTGCTGTTAATTTAGGAGGGGACACATATATGAGTGTGGGTATGCATGTGCATGCATGCCTTACCTAGAGCCACCACTGATAAAGTGAGCCACTGAGTTCATGCCAGTATTTTAGAGATTAAATAGTCATACTCATGTATTATTCAGAACCCAAAATACATGGCTTCTGTGGCAATCTAAATACAATACAATACATTCCATTTTGAAGTCAGCGAGGGCAAATTTATACTATACCTAGGGTTCCGTAAGTGATGAAAGCTGTCTGGAGAAAGCATTGACAGAGCATTTTCAGATGTTTTGGACTCATCCCATCTTTAACTAGCCCTGCACATGTACAAGAGGTGTTTGTACCTCTAGTGGGAAAACAGTAATATCAGGTTCTTGTACGTCTGTATCCTGTTGTAGGTGCTCACAGTTTGCATTTGCCATCAAAAGATGCTGGAACCCAAAGAACAATCCAAACCAAAAGTCCTTTACAGCCACTATGAAGAACATCTGTGAATCTATGAATCTGTGAATCTTGGTGGAAGATCTCTGTACTTTTACTATAGCTCCTTTGTATCTATGTATAGTACAAAAGGGTTAATTTAGGCCTGTGTAATACTGCACATTTACAGCAAAGCAGACAATGATTGTAGATAGCCCAGTTTTCAAGACCTATTGTTTTGTTTGTGTCTGAGAGAGGTGGGAGGTACACAACCACTCCCAACTTTAGATGGGGACAAGGAAAGTTAGCCTATGTTTGTGACCTTAAAACAGAAGTGACAGAAGAGTTGCAAAGGATAAAGTTTGTACTGGCCGAGTCTACATGAGGCACTGACTGCGCAGTAGCTCGTTACTTCTGAGCAGTAGCGTCATGTGGCAGAAAGTGTGATGCAACACTACCGTGCAGCAGTAGCAAGCTACTGCACGGTCAGCGTTACCTAAAAGCTGTTCAGTGATGCTACTGCACAGTGACTCCAGTTACTGCGCAGTCATTTAATACTTGTGTATACAAGTACTAAATGACTGTGCAGTAACAACTGCACAGTCAGAGTTTCATGTCTCATGTCTCAAATCTTCTATGCATGTCCTGCATGCAGGTAATGTGTTGAAATACACTATTGGTCACAAGCAGAAGAATCCTAAACAGTATTTTAACTTTGGCAAATCAGTTCATTAATGTAACCAGATTAATACCATATTTTCTTACATACAACTGTCTCCCAAATAAGATACACATCTTGTTTTTGAAAGGCAGAAGAAAAAATGATTGAAGAATGAAGAAGAAATGATCTTTCCTTGAACATACCGGTAAATGTAATATTTACCTAGGGAAAACAAAGGCAGTCAAGAGGAGCAAAACATTATGGCTGCTCACACCAACAGATGAAACACAGATAGATAATTTTGTTCTCCCTAGCATTTCACTCTACGTCTGTGGCCAGAACCTCAACTGAGATATATATGTAGCTCCATGAACTTAATGGATATGTTCCCATTTACACATGCTGAGAAACTAGCTCTTTGCTGCCAGTTTGTTTTGCAAGTTTGGTGTGTGATCATCATTGTTATTATTTTATACTGACTTTCTCTTGTTGCACTTTTCCTGAGAGGTAGCAGAGTGAGTGTGACTCATAATATATGGATGAACAAAATGCTAGTGAGTGAAGCTGTATTCAAAAATAAATCTTCAAAAGCAAGGGAGAGTTTGTCTCCAGCAGCTATCTTCAGCTCTTCCTACATGCAGTGGTCATTCCTCCACATCCATCTGCCTGTAGGCAGAAACACTAGCAGAGAAAAGAGTCAGCATGTGAGGCAGGGAGTAGAATTTTGCTCTTGATATTTTATCTAAATATTGAGAAATACTGCTTTTGATTATATACCAACCCACTAACACACCGTTTATTCAATACTATGCGTTTTCTATTATTTCCTGCAGCTCAGTTCTTTATTTGCTTGCCTAAGGACATTCCACATGTCTCCAATCTACATCCCGACTGAAGTTTGATACACAGCACGCATCTAAGAAAGCAGCTATGCTGTCATGACCACAATTTCAACATCTTCATCCTGAAAAAGTCCAGCATCCCTAAAGCTAGCATTAATAAAGTTTCTCATCAAGTCAGTGCTAGATTTTACACTCTTCTCCTTGCTTTTTATCTCAGTTGATCTTCTAAATGAGTGATTAAGAAAAAATAAAGATGCAGCATACCTTGTTTTGTTTAAGACTTTACCATTAGTGTAAATATTCTACATAACTGCTAGAGATGTAATGTTAACAAAGCTGAATGTGAAGTTATAAAACTGATGATTCAGGTTTTATTTTCCATTTAAAACCATTTTTACATAAAAATGTACTTCCAGTGTTTACAGCAATTCGCCTGTTTTCCTAGGAAAAAAAATAATGATATTCTAATGAGAGGTACTTTCTAACAGCTATCAAACTATATAAATCTAGATATAAATCAGCACTAATTATCTCCAGCTATTGTCATGATTACAAAAGTAATGTTTACAAGAAAGATTAATGTTTGTGTATGCATGTTTAATAGGGTGCCCAGGGTAAACTATAACCAAGAACCAAACTTTAGCCTCTATTACACTGATGCAACCCCAGTAAAGCATATGGGGCATGTCTACACATTCATTAATTCACAGTAGTTACTGCACATTTAATTTAGTACTTGATTAATGAAGTACTAACTAAATGTACAGTAACTAGAGTTACTGTGCAGTAGTGCCAGCAAACACCTTTTTAGTGACACTACTGCACACTAGCCTAATAATACTGCACAGTAGTGTATTAGCGCTGCCTGTGCTGTGATGCACTACTGCTCAGTGTTATTAGGCTACTGCTCTTTAAGTATCTTGTGTAGACGTGCCCATGGAGTAGTAGACGTTACCAAGCAGAATTTCCATATTACAAAGTATGCACGCACTTAGCAATACATTCGAATTTAAATGAACATTGCTGAAGACTTGCTGAAATGACCTGTTTCATCCACACCAGAGAAATACACAACTTTGTATATGCAATGCTTACAGTAGCCGGCATCATAACATGCAGCTAACTATTAACTTAGAAGCTCTTCCACCACACCACAACTAGCTGTTGCCAATAATTCATTTACTGGATTTTCAGAGAAATAGTTTCCTCAAATCTTGCAGATTCTAAGAGGTGAGGGGAAGGACACTGTTTTGTTTTTGGTTTTGATTTTTTAAATTAAAGTATTTAAGAATCAATCATATATATCACTGGGCTTAGTCCTGTGGGTTGTTTGCACACTGTTCATAGCAAGCCTCCTATTGAGTGTTTAACATCCTGAATTTACTAGTCAGGCCATGTGGTTTAATCAGTTAAGTCACACGAGGCATGTCTACACGTGCATTTAAGCACGACTAAATGTAATGTGCATTCAGCTAAAGCACATTAAGCAACTTTTGGCAGATGTCTACATGTGCAGGGACTTGGCACTGAAGTTAGTCCCAAAACTCTGCAACCTGGACAGGTAGGGCAGACCCAGCACGAAACTTAGGGCCAGGTCACATCTACATGTACGTTAATGCACATTAACTAATCACACCTAAATGTGATATCTGCATTCCCATGATGTTGTTTCTGATCCCCTACTGAGAGCTCCAACTGGAGCACTTCATATGCAGATGCTATTGCTGATACACAAGTATCCAAACATGGGTGTTTCTCCCTGAGCACTCAGGTTAAAACACCAATGCCAAGTCCAGCCAAGTCACAGTCCAGAGGAGTATATGTTAGGCTTTTTTTTACCTGCTGTTCACACAGCTTTAGCTAACAGCTATTTGTGATCTGGGTTAGGTTTAAAATAGAGTTCAGACTTGAATTTGACAACAGTGTGGTCCTGTGAACTGTTCTCCTGAAGCTGCCACCCACACAAGTGCATACTTTTCAGAGGCTGAGGGCTAGCTGAGAAGTTTGTCAGAGTTGTTTTGATGAAAAATTGGATTGTTTTAACTAAATTAAACATTTTGCATGAAAATGGTTATGTTTGATGTGGAAAAATTCTAATTTTTGTTAAAAATTTGAAGAGCCAGTAGTGCTATAGAATCAGGAAATAATCAAAGTCTATAATATTAATTTTATAAATTACTTCCATATCTTTACACTCTTCTTACTAATTGCATTCTTTGCTAAATGGGATGATTACAGTAATAATAAGGTCAATTAAATTAAATTCCCCAGTGCTGACAAATGCAGATGATAATTCTCTGGATATCTTCCCTGACCAGTACACCAGTAGAGCATTTAGTCTTGACCCAAAAAGCATAATACAAAGGACTTAAAACTGCATAAAACAGCTGCCTGCTCTGAAGATACATCATCGAAAAACAGAGAGGCACAAGACTAATTAGAAGCAGAAGTTTCTGTAAGAGGGCCTGAAGTATTTTAGATTTGCCAGGGTATCCATATGGAAGATGAGTGGCCCTCTGGTAAGCTAGGCATGCACAGAAATCATTCATTGTCTAAATATAAGGACTTTGGCAAAATGCTCTTGTTCTAAATGTATTATATTTTGCTTAGAAAGCTGACTGGTCATTGGATAACCCTGTAATTGCTCCTGAGATAACTGTAGCAGCTGTTGAGTTTAAGTCAGACTTGCAGAAGTCACTACACTGAATTACAAGGTCTATAGCCTAGAATTCCTGTCTGCATGCAGTGATGAATGAATTACCAACACTTAAGTGGGACCCCTCCAGGGAGCCATGAAAACATTAGTTATGCCCAAGAACTGTGGTGCTGAAACCTTGTTTCTGGTCAAACACATCAACATTTTCTCCACAGAAGTTGCAGTGAAAACAATTTTTATCCAGTGGGATGGGAAAGAGAAAGAGGATGGAGGCAGCCAGCATTTAATGGTCATTTCTATTTTGGACTGAAGATTTTAATTCTGGCCATTCTTAGGTTGCCACAGAGCATGCTCTTTTGGCGTATCTGCTCTGACTGTTACTACTTCCCTGTATATCACTCTTTCCCATTGTTGGTATTGTGGATTTTTCAAAAAGGTGTGCTTATGCAGACTCATGCTGATTAGGAACACAAGTTCCTAAAGAGGGAAG